TCATGATGATGACATAATTAATGTCGAAATATTGAATCCCAACACGATGGCGTGTATTTCAATACTTGGAGTATGTATTATACTTTCTTATCTGAGATTAATCAGTGGACCTTTCGGTTTTTAGAAAAGATTTAGTTCTACTAAATGAACAATGGACGAGGAGCAAATGTTAAGGCTTTAGTTAGGGGCGCCCCTGCCTTATTGCTATGCCACTTAACTAGTTCACCATCACTCTTTTCTAGGAATACTGTGGACTGAGAGAAAACCTAGATACTTGGTTGATCTCATCACTCACCTGGTAATCAACTGGAATTAGAGGATGATGTGGGGGGAAGGCACGCGTGGAGCCTTTGCGATGGACCAGTAACGTCTTCTGCTCACCATCTACCATGTACAAACTTGTCAGTTAAGGCGAATTAAAAATGGAATGAACAGCAATATAAAGGATAAAACTGGTAAAAAATATTTTGTAGAAATATATTAGGCTATGTTAAGACACAAGTTACGCTAACAAATGGTGTTAATTGTGCGCGGTGTAGCAAACGCCAGTATTAACATGCAATCACCGGTGTAGGACAATCCACCAACAGAATCCAGACTATATTACGCCACTGAGCTACGAGTCTTACATCAATGATTTTAAGCCCAGCCGGGACTTGACCATTTACAATAAGCCTAGATGTAAACAGTAAATAGGAAATAAAATGTGCAATTACGAATATGAATATTTCGCATGCATGCTTACGCCAGCATTTGTTAATCACCCAGTCTGGACATTTTGCTAGTTATGTCATGAATTAACGTATGCCTGGCGTTATATACGCCTAGAGAGGGTGTATCTTTGGTCTGAACGTTGCGTTAATCATCACAAAATAACAAAATGTATACATTTATTATTATTATCATTAAACTTCAGGGAGGAATTGAGAAATAATGTTAGATGGCATGAAATATAAAAATGATATTCATGCATGTATGAAATTAAGAGCACATCATAGAAAACATGGGAGGAATTAACGCTCTACTGCCTCTATCATACCGCCCTCATGAGGAGCTCTAGAAACACTCAGCTGATTGGTTAATTAGTTGACTGATTAATAGATCTTTTTTAGCTCTACTGCCTCTATCATACTGCCCTCATGAGGAGCTCTAGAAACACTCATTTGATTGATTAATAGATCTTTTTAGCTCTACTGCCTCTATTATACTGCCCACATAAGGCTGATTGATTAAATAGTTGACTGATTAATAGATTTTTTTAGCTCTACTGCCTCTATAATACCGC